AGCCCCAATAAAAGAACAAACCAAAATCACGTTATCGACAATAAATCAAACAATAAAAACTCATACCTTGAGCTGGCGCGGCGAGACGAAAGCGAGTGGTCAAATGGTCATTAAACACATAAACAAAAGAGATAGTCTACAGAAACGCAGACTAGCTCTGATTCCAAACTGTAACACCCCGTTTTATTATAAAGTATTTGTCGAATTTATTTACAAAGATCAGAGTTTTTTTTTTTTTTTTATTTATAACTTTAACGATTTCGCTGCGTTCCCGACGAAACCCTAGTTCCCGACAGACAATTTCGCTGCGATTAGCCTTCTCCGGCGAAGGGGCGGCTCAGGCTAGTGGTCACCCTCGACCGCTCGGCTGTCACCGCCATCGCGCCTCTTTCAATTTTGCTGCAACGGGTCGCTCTGATGTGTACTCTGCCCGAGGTCGTCGGCAAGCTGTGACTGCGGTGGTGTTCGATCTGAGGCGGGTGGTTTCCCTGGAAGCCGGCAGTCTTTGATTGGATGGTTCGCCACTCAATTGCATAGGGTTGATGCTTGGAGGTTCATCAGTTCAGGATGGGCTTCTGGGTTTGGATTTTGGGGCTCGAGCTCGCGATGGCAGCAACCTGCAGTGGTGTTGGGAGGCGTGTTGGTCGGCAGGCGGATCGAGGCTCCGGCGGCCGTGATGTATTCCATCGGGGTGCGGGAGTAGCAGGTACGGGTAGCTCTCTTTCCATCTGGTTCTCTGGTGTTGGGAACTTGGTGGGCCCGACGCCTATTAGCTCGACTAGTGGTGTTAGGCGAGCTAGTGCGGGGCTGTTGCAGGGAGCTGGTTGTCCTCTCAGTCGAAGGTGGGTTGATTCGGGTTAGTCTCAAGGTCCGGGTTTGGCTTTTGTATAGGCGTTCGACAGCAGTTTCGGAAGATGGGCCTCGGGCTTCGGACCTTTCTTGGATTGATTGGTTCTCTACTGGTTCGATCTGCTTTATTTGCTGGGGAAGGGCACTATGTGTCGTCATTAGATGTTTTGTTGTTTTTTTAGATTGTGTTTTTGTCTGTATTGTGTTGTCTGTGTTTGTGTTTGTCTTTGTGTTTTAGGTTTGGGTCGTTGGCCCCGGTTAGCCTGAGTGTCACCTTCTTATCCTGTTGGGTTCAGACACTCGGGTATTACCCTGTTGGGGTCTTTTTAGTTTCGTTGTTTTTTTGTGTGTTAGTGTTTTTGTGTGTTTGTGAGTATTACCCTGTTGGAGTCGGCTCTAGGCGGTCATTGACTGTCCTTCCACTTTATTCAGCTATTGGTTGTTTGTATTCAGCTGTTGGTTGTTTGTATTCAGCTAGTGGCTGTCCTTTTGTACGTTTATTCGGTTATATATAATATCTCTATCGTTTTGGCAAAAAAAAAAAATGAAAACTTCAATGATTAACAGGTGCTACCTAACTAACGACAACAATTAAATACATACAACAAAAAGATAAAACTTACACATGCATGAGCTAACGATTATAAAAATAATCCAACTTATTCATAAGTCTCAAAACCATCCAGAAAATTTGCATAAGTCAATGGTTCATCCAACACATAAACATGGTTCATAACGGAAGCATAAATAATCCAAAATAAGATCAAGTAATTTAGCAATATTAATAATATTAAGCGGAAGCAAAAGACACATCAATCATAGACCACCATCTCGCTCGTCTTTACGCCACCGCCTCCAGCTCGTCTCAACCTAAAGAAAAGAAGATAAGACAACAACAGAAAATAATGGGGGTGAGCATCACCATCGAGCTCAACATTATTGCACAGTTATCCCGTATAAAGATTTAAAAGTAAAGTAACCACAGTATACAGTATGCATAGAATCCAAAAGTCTAAACCCCCTACCCGGCCCTATCGCAAACCTCCTATGTACATACAACAACCTTCCGGATACAACGGCAAGGAAGTAACTGGAAAACTTTCCCACCCCGAACTACTCACGGATCATGGGAGTCCACCCCGAACTACTCACGGATCATGGAATTTTTCCAGGAGACAGTGGAGCTGTTTTTCCCCCCCGAAACACACACGGATCAGGGCGTTTCCTCCCGGATACAACAGGCAGGTGACCTCTCACTGTTATGCATTCGTCAAAGGCACTACCAATAGGATACTTAGACTAGGGTTCTCACGCATACGACAATTTTTCAAACAAAACATTTATACGAAATATTAAGTGCGATAATTATGGAATTCATCACAAATGTACCCACCTGGTTCCAATAATAAACATGAATACAAATCTCGAAGGTAGGATAAGGTCAACACCTCAAAACACCGATATTAAGTCAAGATACTAAAATAAACACTTTATCTTGACTTAAAAAGGAAATCACAAATTGGACTTAGTCGAACTCGATTCGACTAAGCTGTTCGTGAAGTCCTGTGGACGTTGGAACTCTAGGACTTAGAGTCAAACAACCAAACACGGGAGTTCACGTAAATATCACATAAAAGATATTTCAAACAAGTCACGACCACAACAAGAAATCCGGTTTATAGTTTTTGACACAAGAACTACATTTTTGAAAAATAGAAATCCCTATATCACATAATTAGGTTGATCAAGTTGCTGAATGAGTTAGGTTCTGAAACTTTAACATAAAATCCACCTCACTGGATTTAGTAAAACCACCAAGTTTCAACCCCAAACTCATTATACACCATTTTATAAAATTCATACAAGTTAACAGAAAAAACAAACATAAATTCACATCCTGACCTAATGAACGATTCAGGAGTTGACATTTTAACATCATAAACTACAATATGTAAAAGACAACATATAAAAATTTCAGCCATTGACATCAACTACACGAATTTTTAAAAATTCATACTCTTTTCTGCAGTTTTAGAATTTTAATTAAAATCGAACCACTTTGAACTCCACAAATTCTAATCTTTTTACAGCATGAAACTCCACATAAAACAAGCAATTCAGCAAAATATCAGAATAGTTCAGCTACTGACCAATTTATCATAATTAAAACAACTTTCGGCAGAATATTTAAATAAATTATTTACCATATCAAACTTAGTCCAAAAATTCTAAACATTTTACACACCGTATAAACATGATAGAGGCATAACATACTCAAATTTCAGCATAATTGAAGCACGACCCAATTTATTATGCATTTAACATGTTTCTGCTTAGAAATCACTTTAATTATTTAAAATAGTTACAGACCTCATAAAATCATGAAATGTTTACACGAACTATAAAATCAACAGAGGCATTTACACCTAAAATTCAAAGCAATCGGCTCAATGGGCGATTTATCATGAATTTATTATCAAAACAGCCATAATAAACGATCAATAATTCATATAGGACTCGACACAAACCGAAATTGTCCGTGGTCTTCACCATAAGACCAAGAACTCGACAATGTTCCATTATCCACAACAACTTAAAACTTTTTAATGTGTGTCGATTCACACGAGTCGACGAGGTTCACGTACATACACGACAATATTTATAACGAAATGAAATAAACACATAAAATCACAACTCATATAAACACGTAGAGTAGGGAAAACACGACAAATAATCATGTAAAAATAAACGAAGAGTCGAGACTCGATACCGTTCTTGGGAAAACGAGCGAGAAAGGATTGAACGGGGCTCGACGGCACGTCAGCTTCACGCGTCTCACCGGGAAAGGAGGGGTAGCGGCTGCGGCTGGTCGCGTAGGAGCAACTTGCTCGTCACTAGGGTCACGACGGCGCGTAGGGGAGCAGCGGTGGCGGTCGTTTGCGGAGAAGAGCAGAGGGTTCACCGGAATCGCGACGAGAGAGCTTGCGGAGGAAGGCCTGCGCGATGCTAGGAAGTCGTTGGAGGGAGAGTCACTCGTCAAGGCGATAGGGCAGCAGGGTCGTCGGAGGGAGGGCCTGCGTGATGAGGGCTCGCCGGCGGGAAGAGCAGCAAGCAAGGGTGATCAGATATGGTGGTTGCGGGGCGTTGGTGTCGCGGGTTGTTTGCTGCGGGGAGTGTGGTCGTGATGAAAGAGGGTGGTGATGATGATGGTGACGGGAGTGAGAAAGAAGAGGGACGATGAGGGGTAATGGCCGGATTCCTGTGTGAGGGAGAGATCGAATTCGCGTGGACGACGAGAGAAAAATAAAGAACAGAAAAACTGCGCAATGGTTTTGACGAGAGGGAGGATAGATACAAGTATATATATATATGCTCTAGGTTAGACTTTTCTTGATTCACAAGAAATATTCCACACCCACACACACACACGGGATTAGAGAACCGGGTCTTGGGCTTGAGTGCGGGTTTGGCTCGCGGGCCGGTTCATATGGGTTTTTGCCAAAATGATTAGGCTCTCGGGCTCGGTTTAATCGCATTTTTAAATAAATAATTTCCGAATAATATTTATACACATTATATTTATTTATTTTTTTAAATAATAATATTAATAATCAAAATATACAATTAATCAATTAATGACATTTAGACATTTAATATTAGACATTCAATATTAATATTAATAACATCACAATAATAATAAACATCAATAATAATAATAATAATAATAATATTCCAAAATAACCCTCAAATAAATGGGGCATTATACCTTGATTCGTGCGTCTCCCAGTGGTCAGATTTATTCTCCTTGATATGTCTTATAAAACATACCTTCACTTGCCACATTTCCACTCTTCACCAATATTCGTCACTTGCATTTTGCTAAAAAATTACCTTGGTGCATAAATTCTCACCGTCGCTTGCGAACCCTAGATTTTACTGACCTCACATTCCGAAAGATTTACGGGTATGTTCTAGACTCCTTCTCTATTTGCATTTTTATCTCTCCCTCTTTAGACCTCGATCTTTATCTCATGTTTGCTTTTCTTCGGAGACCATTAAGGTCGGACTTTTCTCTTCTACCATTTCTTCTTGCACATAATCTTCCCAAAATCATCTGAATTTTGTGATTGGCAAATTCTCGATCCTTCAAGCCACCCCAATAGCCACTGTTCCAATATCCTCACATTGGCCCACAGAGGTGACTATCGCCGAAGGTGTCCAGGCCATCCTTTCTTCTGACTCAGTCAAGGTCGCAAGTCCACTTGGTCCAATACCGATCTGATTCTTTTTAAGCATCCGTGCGAGTTTCTGCAATCCCGGGAGCTTCGACTCCCTAAGATCGAGGACTTCTTTACTAAGCCCGCTGAGGGCTGTCATGTGTTCTTTGTAGACCAGGTGTCCGTCGGTCTTTCTTTTCCCTTAAAGTCTATTCTCTTAGAGTTGTCTCGGCTCTATAGAGTTCCTCTGAACCATTTCACTCCTAACGCCATTCACTTTATGGCAAGCTTTTCTATTATCAGACGCTCCATACTTTAGTCATTTGATCCAAATGTTTTTTTATACTGTTACTGGATAAAATCCTAAAAAGGCTCATTCTACCTGTCTCGCCGTAATAATATGAACTTCATCAGCAATTTGCATTTAAGTAACCCGTCATGGCAGGCTAAGTATTTATTTGTCAAACCTCCTCTTGGAACCTTTGATTTTTCTTCCGAATGAATCCATGAAAACCTGAGCAGCGTCCGTCCCCAAAGCCCAATCAGGCTTATAGGGACCAGATCAAAAAGTTGAACGAAACTCCTTATGGTCTCACCCTTCTTTACCGATGACCTCAACTTGATGTTGCTCAGTGGCATGTCTTCTTTGACCTAGGCATTCTTTTAATTACTTATGTCCCCTCATATTTTCATCTTATTGTCTTTCTTGTAGCTGATGCACTTTGTTTTGTCTGTTTTGCATATTCTATTCTGAAGAAGGTTCGGCTGAGCTCTATTTCTCAAGGCAAACCTCCAGAGCCCGCTACCGTCAATGTTAGGGGCATTTTTCTAGTGCCGCAACCTACTCGCCAGCCCACCTTTCTCGCCGATCTTTCATCTTTCCAACCGGACTCTGTCCTGGTGCCGCCCTCAATACCGAACTTTGATGGTGCCACACAGGGATCCAACCCAGCGAAGAGACCTTGCTCAAAAAGGCGAAAAAACATGGAAGTGTCTACGAAGCTTAGAGCGGCTGAGATCTTCTCGGGACCCAACGTGGCTGAGGTACCTCTGAGGCCAAAAGTGATCATTTCTTCTGAAGCTACTATTCTTGAGATACCTTCGAGGCTGGTGGTCTCCAATGATGTTGGTGTCCAATCCACCTACCATCTCTCTATCTTCCCCGAGGGGGAAACAAACCGGTGGCGAGGGGCTCTCAGAGCCTATCACGTGCGCTCGCATACACTTCAGGTTTACCTTTTTTATGGTGATTTTACCTTTGTTGCTACTTTCTTTAGCTATCTCTCTGTCTATTTATGCGTTTCCTGTCTTTTAGGCCTTTTCTGGGCTAGGTCCTCTTTTACCAAAAAGTTTTTAAGCGACGGCCTTGCGACAGAGAACAAACAATTGAAGGCCGAGCACAAATAACTGAAGGTCGAGCTCACTGCTAGAGAGCAGGCTTTTGACAAGGAAAGGGCCAAGCTGAAGGCTACCGCCTCCAGCTGAACTGCGAGTTGAGCGTTGGAATGAGGACATTAAGCCTTTTGGGATCTAGTGGAACCAATCTTGGGCAGACCCCTTAAGGGTTGTGAGGAAAGCTCTACTACCGACTGCATCACCGTATTTATGGAGTACTTATAATGTTCTCAAACAATATGAGGTGTTCGGAGGGATCTGTTGAGCCATCGAAGAATAGTTTATCTTCCGAAAAAATGTTGGGCAGGTCTCCTTCAAAGACCTTGTTAGAGAAGGGGTGACCGTTGGCTTGCGGACCCACATTTCCCCAACCTTAGCTGCGAGAACTTCGAATGCGACGTCCTAAGGTGACTTCTACAAGGTCACGGTAACCAAGTCAACTCATACCTCTCTCTCTTCGACTTGCTTCTGTGATTGCAACGCGATGTGGTTTGTCTGTCTTGGGCCACTGCCTCTGCTATGATTTTACTCAGCTCTTCACGAGTGAGCCTAATAACTTCTTTCCGGGGTGTTGGGATCTATGAGGATCTCGTTATGTACAAGTTACGAATTCAATAGCAAACGTAAACCTATGCGCAACGGATTTAATGGTTTGACGTAGAAAACTTACGGCTTAAAATTTTTCAGGACGACCAGGAACAGCACACGAACGGAAGAGATCACACGAACAGAAGCAAGTCGTCTCCTCGCGATCGGGTTGTGTGCGTCGGGTGGCTGGGTCGTGTCGCATCGTCGGGCTCGTGTCACGCCGATTGGATCCCCGGCGGTACTCCGGCTGGTCGGGCGGCGGTTGGCGGTTGTCCGGCTGGTCGGGGTCGGCAGATCTTGACCTTCGGGTTGAGATTCGTCGACTTCTGTAGATGATCACGGGGTCTCGATTACCTTCGAGATCTTCTATTGTATCACTCAAATACCTCTTCAATTTGTACCGGTGGAGCAACAAGAAGAAGATAAAACTCGAATGAGATCTAGAGAGAGAGGGAATGCACACGATATTTCATGTATCTTCGCAATTATGTTCTCTTCTCATGAGCTTAATGATGTATATATAGAGGTACAGTAGGGATCCTCAGAAGATTAAGAATAGGGCTTCTTAAGTAATGGACTAACTGTGGGCCAAGCCCACTCCTCCAATTACTTAAATAATATTATGGTCTGGCGAGTCGTGCGAACCGAGGACTGAAGATTCTAGAAGATTAATGTTAGATTAATTATGTAATTATTATTTAATTGTTAAATTAGTGGCGTAGTGTTAGGTTAGGTTATTATTTTAATTAGCCGTATGTTAGTATTGTTAGGATATTTTGTTAGATTAGTTTATATATGTTGGTGGCGTAAGTTAGATATTGTAGTATATTTGTGGTTTGTGATTATCAAGAAGATGGCTTAAGGAGATTGAAGAAAACGAAACAAAAATCAAAGTCGAGGCACGTAATAGTTACGTTCTCCTTAAGACAAATTGCCCCATAAAATACCCACTGTTAACGGCAAACGCCTCCAAGATACATTGACTTTCGACTTGTATGTAATGGTACTTCAAATACACAAGTCTTCGGTGAACAATACTATTGTTTGAAACTCTCAAGACTCAATGAAAAAATCTAAGAACACAATACGCTATATGATCTTTGAAAAGTAGCAAGAGTTCTCAAATTTTCATGTTATTAATGATTTCAAGTATGTGGGTATTTATAGATGTAGGAGAACACCTCCAAGAGGTTTAGGTGTCAATAGACACCTTTTGGGACATACCCGAATGTGAATGGAGACACCTTCTAGTCACCAAAGGTTGTGACCTTTCTTTTCCGCAGCCTGCTTCGTGCCCGCGCGCCATGGGCTCGTACGAGCTCATACGGACTCGGAATCAAGTTCCATTTTTTCCTACTCGTCCCCAATGATCCATTCTACAATTCTAGCATACATAATGCACGATTATAGCTCGTTTAATTTGTCCAAACATTTATCAAAACATAATATTTTACGAATCCAATAATTTGAGTTACTTAAACTCATTGCTTCAACTTTACATTTCCCACATATACAACTTAGAATTAACTTCTCATTCACCTTAAAATGGTTTTGAGAATTTTCTAAGTCTTCCACTTACAAAAAATGAAACTGTAAAATCGGTACAAAACTAAATTTTTCTTACAGATGTTAGGTTAGTATTTAATTAGTATAGGTTGTTATTAATTTAGTGATTGTTATGTTAGGTTAGCGTGTTAGGATTAGATTCTGTAGGTTAGTAAAATTTAGTGACGTGAATTATTAGTTTGGTAATATTAGTTTAGGCGTGTTAGTTAAGGTTAGGTATTTTATATTTTGGTAAGTCTTGGGATGCAAGATATTTAGTTACCTTTGGATTTGATATATTTTCCATAAATTAGAATTGTAGTGCTCATAGGACTAGATCTAGTTTTTCTTATAAATATCCAATGTAATCATTCAATTTTATATCAATGAAGAATTAATTAAAACCAAACATATGTTCAAATTGTTTCGTGAGTTTACTCCTGTGAGTTTACAAGCAAGATCGTGTTAGAAATATGACCAACATCTAATTTTCTTTCACAAATCGCGAAGTACGAAGGCGTCGGCGCGCGTATTAGCAACCTATCGCGAAGGAACCAAGGCGTCAGCGCGGGTTTCGGGCAAGTCAAGTTGGTACGACACACGATCCTTCATCAGACGCGCACAACGCCTGTGCAATCTTATCGGGCGACAGGCTGGCAGCGAGCACGCTGGCATCCCTAGTGACATTGTCTCGTGACGCAGTAGTGGCACAACTCGGCGATTCCCAAGTGAGCACTAGCAACCACAAATGACCTACCAAGCCTCAGGCGATCTGACCACGCTCTAGGCGACTCGCCATCGACTTTCTGCACATGCCAGCGAGCACCAGTGACCTGTAGGTCGTGTAGTCTTTACAGAGAGCTGCGGTGGAGACGTGATCTACCAAGGCAAGGTGATCGGACGAGGTAGAGGATGCGTCTCAAAATCATTAGTTCAGCTCCGTAGGTCGTGTAGTCTTTACAGAGTCTGCGAAAAGTTTTAAAAAGTAGATGGTCAAACTTTAACTCTAGTTTTGTGCGCTTATGTTTATTATGTAGACAATCCGTGACTTGCATAATTTCAACGTTCTTAACTGAGCCCCAACATTCTTTTCTTAGATTTATGTTCAAATCGAAACATGATCATCAACATTCTTCACCGAACCCAACACGGGAGACATTTCATCGGGTAGACCCAGAACGTTCAATTATACCGTCGGCATCGACAATGGATGACCACTTATAGATGCTACAATTTTACGCTTTGGTGGTCGTCTACCTTAAGAACTTGACATTTTTTAAATTTAATAGAGTTAAAAAAAAACATAACAATTATAGCAAAAATGAGAGAAATGAGAGTATTGAGGAGATTATAAAGAATAAGATGATGATAATTTGGTGTAAAAATGAATTGGAAGGGGTGTTATGGATAGAAAAAAAAAATTAGATTTTATCTTTTTAATTCGGCGAACCATCGGTTAAAACGTTTGCCCCGATCTTGATCATTGGTGATGTAGCACTCAGAAGTAGCTCAACACACCGGTCTGATAGAGTAGCTCGGCTAAGGTTGGGCTAGAAGGACTCTCTGGGATACAAAGATAAGATACTCAACTAAGTCAGACAAGGGCTGAAGGTGCCGAGTTAACAATACAGACATGACATGGAGAAAATCGGCCGCCAAGAGCCCGACAAAATAACCGACCTCGAGACATCGAGGTCGGGTGGTCAGAGAGTAGGTTAGACCTAAAGGCGAGGTCGGTATAGACCTCAGGATAAGGTCTAGTACGTCTTTAGAGAGGCCACAACAGGCAGGTCAGGAGTTCGAATTTACGACCTAAGGATCTATATGCTAAAACAGTAAAATGGGTAAGAATCCAACTAATAAAGAAAGAATTGGTCGATCAAGGACTCTTACCAAGATAGAGACGTGGTAAGTTAGGGAAGTAGAATCCGGGTGGATCTCTTCCCTAACAAAATCTCTCTTCGGCCCTAACGTATTAAGTCATATATAAGGACGACAAGTTCTCTCTTATCAAACACGCACATTGTACGCCTTATTTCTTATATTCTTAAAGTATACAGTCGAGCGAGTTCTGACTTGAGCATTAAAGAGTTTTTCACTGGGACCCCATCTTGGTGTATTGCTGGTTATCAGAGGCACAAGAAAGCAGACTGTTTGAGGCGTAAGGTGTTCAATCTGTTCGTGACTAAAAGTGATGTAACTAATTGTCGCCGTGTGTCGAAAAACCTCCAGTTTTTTACTGGCTACAAGGGACTAGCGTTTTTCACAAAAGCTTGCATCAATAAATTCAAAGTCATGCTGAACGAAAACCCTAAGAAGAATCTCACATAAGAGATGGACACTGCGTGGCAGAAGAGATCGATGGGATCCGGCCCCCCGCTGGGCTAGCCGCATTCTTCCAACCCACTGATCACGCTGAGATGTTGCCTGCTCCGGGGACTGCTATGACGCCAATGTTATATATGCCAGAAGGCTCGATAGGGGGAAGGCCAATGGGCCAACAACACAAAGATAATCAAGTGATAACGGTTCACACAACAATCGAGGACGTACTACAATAGACCAAGCTACTAGCTAACATGATGGAAGAGCAGATCGAATAACATATGCTTGTTATCAGATTGCTGGAAGACCCCCGTTTTGGTGTTATATACTAAAAGATTTACTTTAGATGATATTACACTTTTGCCCTTTATGAATGAGAATCATGTTTGATTAAATAAGTTCTATGTTCTATTGTTTTGCACTTAGATAGAATGGGTCATCATCGGGCAAACAGAAGATCATTCTATCAGTTACTTGCGAAACAATAATTGATGGTTCACAACCTAGATGAAAATGAACACCCCATCGGAACGGTTGTAGTGTCAACAGTACAG